CTATCCAACCTTACCAAATACTGCCAAAAACTGAAACAAATCATATTTTGGTAATCACCTTCGATAACCCTTGTGGGGATATTCTCCGAGACATGTTCTGAATTTCTTCCAAATAGACTACCATTTCGGACAATAGGATCCACGGGCGGGTCTTGAATTTGACAAGGCGAAAAAGGCTCTGGTCCGAAATGGCAGTAATCGAAAAATCGGCTTTGTCGTGAATGTGTTAAATAAACGAATACCAAATGAAATTCGGAAACTAAAATCTCTGATATCGATTATATCGAAATTGATAATCGAATATATTAGGTTGGTCAGAAAGTTCTGTCCCACCATATTCAAAGAATCGTAACTCCTTCCTAACACGATGCTTTTGCATGGGTAAAATCATATTAAAACGAGCAATTCATGTACTTTCTAAAACTACGTTGGCTGCTATTCACTAAGCTTTGAATGCAGAGATAAAACTGGATAAAGGAAATCACTTTTTCGGAATTTTTAAGCAAGCCCGTTAAAAAATCCAAAAGTGCGCCATAAAACCCAAAACAGGCGGTATCCTAGGTTTTTTGATTCCCTCTTTCCGGCTGATCAAAATTCGCTCTGATCGAGCTCTTTTGAAAGAAGTCATGTTTTTTAAGAAAAAATGTCAAAAAATCAGTTTCTTTGAAAATTGATTTTTTGCCATTTTTTCAAAAAATTATAACTTTTCGGAGAGCATCTCGATCAGCGCAAATTTTGCTCAGCTAGAAAGAGGGGTTCAAAAAGTCTAGGATACTGGCTGTTTTGGATTTTATGGCACAGTTCTAGATTTTTTAACGGGCTTGCATAAAAAATTCCGAACTTGAAGTGATTTCGTTTTCCCAATTTTATCTCTGCTTTCAGAACTTAGTAGATAGCAGCCAAGACGTTTTCAGAAAGTGCATAAATTGCTGTTTTCGATGAGGTTTTACACTTGCAAAAACACTGGGTTAGGAAGAAGTTACGAATTTTGAAAATAGTGGGACAGAACTTTCGGACCAACCTAATATATTCGAATAAATCATTCGAATATCCAGATTGACCATATATAAAACTTGTTGATATATCCGCACGGTCAATATAGCTTTGCACCATACTCGAATACTCCGAATACTACTATAAGTTTATTCTAAATGAACTCGAATTGAACATTCAAATAAAATTCGTTTCAAACCTCAACGTTTCGAGTTTTCGGACTTTAATCGAGGCCCCGTTTTTGAATTGATTGATTATTCGAGACCCCGTTTTTTGAATGATTTTTCGAGCTTCATTCGGTTCCCGTTTTTTGATTATTTAAGTTTCCAAACTTTGTTCGAAATCAAAAAAGTCTTTTTAGCTTTGAATGCGGATGTGTTCGAATAATTTATTCTTATTCGATTTGCATCAAAGTATAAGTAAAGGTGACTGGTACCGCTTAGGTAGAGTTAGGCATTTGTGAGGGCGAAAATCAGAAGAATTCAACTTGGGATGCAGTAGTATGGTGGTTTGGATAAAAACATGATTTACCCTTATGACAAACATGATTTCATGCGCGTTTTTGGAACGCTGCAGAGCCGATGTGAGCATAAATTTTGTATAGCATACTTATAACTAGCAAGTCTTCTGCTAGTTATAAGTATGCTAGTTGGTGCTAGTCTTCTCATGCGCTTGTAGCTTCAAAGGATTTTTATTGACAGAAAATTTATGCAAGGTTTTGCAAAATCACTTTATCAGGTAAGAAAGAACAGCACAAAGAAGGTAAGAAAAAAGAACAGTTCTACCCACCATGAACAAGTTGGGTAATTTAATAACCGAAACTTAATGCTAAACAATCACGCATCGGAAGAAAAGTCTTCGCTGTTTTTGTCAGTAAACTTTCGAACAACGAAACATTCTGCTCTGCATTAAACACGCTCTTCTTTCTCTTTCCAGCGGTTAGTTATAACGTGTCTATGTAGCGACTGCTCGGACTTTTATTGGGTGTTCCAATCCATATACATCTTGCCTAAATTTATCCTTATTCTACGAGTACAAGATGCACCTGCTTTTTTCTAAACTTGACCAGCCCTGAATACATTGAACAATTTCGTGACCAAAGGACTCTCTACGGTGCTGCTCCTTACCTAAAAAAAGAAGAGAGTGATTTTATCACGATGCACACTGGTGCAGCGCTGCTTGCTTCAAAAAGTGAAAAAAGTGCGTCTTGTACTTGTGAAATTAAGGTGATACTTCTTGTTATTGTAAATTTCAAAATCGCTGTTCTAACTCTTGAGAGAGGTTGCAAAGCAAGCAGATAGAGTAAACCTCGATAGTGACGCTTATTCGGATATCTCCAGTTCAATTTTTGTAATCTTTCAAAATTATTTCACTCGGCCAAATTCATAGGCGGTCTGGCCGCATATAACACTGGACTGTTGCCAGTTCAGCTACCTTTCAATGAAATAGGAGAAAGGATAGAATAGATGAAATACGCCGATTGTGCTCAAAATATTTGTCTACATTATTCTATGTGAAAGGCATGAACTTCGGGACCTTCTGAGGTTAAAAGCAATACACAAGCTAAACACTATATCGTTTATTGAATAAAAACCAGTGGCAACAAGCTCTTTCAACTACTCGTACAATTTCGTAAAGCGGGAACCGGCGAGAGAGCCGACAAGCGCTTGATGCAGCGTTTCTTCATTATTTCGAGATCTTGGCTTTGTCATTGAAATGTTTGAGGATATCAAATGCATACCAAGTTTCTTCACTGCATTAATGCGCTAAAACAGCATCATTTTCAACGATACCTCTACCGGCTTCTGGAAGAGATTAGGTGGCACAAAAGTGGATCTGCTCCAGTTCGTACAGTCATATCCATGGTGTCTTGAAAATTAATTTCTCGATGTCAAAATTTGCTTTATGCTTTTGGCTGTTATCTCATTTGTTAAAGCAAAAAATCCAAAGAGTAACGAAGCATATACGTAGCAAAACACTAGGTAGAAACTGTAGCTCTATTACAGCAGATTTTTCTGTTGGCAATTTTGAACCGTGCTGAGTTTACTTTCTGTCATGTACCCACTGCAAGCCCGTTTTGCGAGCGAAAAATAAGTTTCTACTTTAAGGTGGAATTACATTCATATCAATAACATTCATATCTTCATTATTTCGAAATCTTGGCTTTGTTATTCAAATATTTGAGGAATGCATACCAAGTTTCTTACTGCATTAATGCTCTAAAACTGCACCATTTTCAACAATACCTCTACCGGCTGATCTGGAACTCATTGCTTAATAACTGTTGAAAATACGCGATAACTAATAATACTTACAACCAGGGTCAAGCGTGTGATGCGACTGTCGCAACGGGGGCCGTAAAGGGGGCCTACGGTGAGGGGGGGGGGGTCGTAAGAGGGGGTAATTTGGATAAAAAACCGTAAGATTGAAAGCAAATCAAATAGCAAATAATTATTACATGTTCTTAACATTTAATTCATGGAATGCCGTGTACCAATGTATCAAATAAAAACGAGTGAACAATAATTTAAGAACATTTGCAAGCGTAGAAATTTGCTTCATTTGCTGCACTTTTAAAAGATTACTAGACTTAAAAGATTAGATAGACTTAGCTCTTTTTTTTATGGGAATCGCTATTTCTCCCGCAAAATATTGTCTCAAACGGGGATCGAACCCTGCTGGTATGACTGAAATCCAAAAAATAAACACCTTCAAAAGCTCAAATGCTACTGAAGGCATGTATGTGTGATAAAGATGTTGAATGTACCGATTGGTGTAGACATCCTGCTTCCGAAGGCTCACTGAAGACTCGCACGCTCGACAAAAGCGCACATGTAGATCAACGATGACAATCAATAATTCGTAAATCTTTTTGTAATGCCATTTGTGCGGCCCTTACAGTTTATATGAACTTTGGATAAGCCCTGCTACTGCTGTGCGAAATCTGGTGTTATTTTATAAACTGCGAATTTTCTTATGATTTTATGTATGGTAGCAAAAAATTGAGAGAAGGGGGGTCGTATCTGCGCCTGATCTAGATTTGTCCAAAGCTATTGAAGCTTGTTAGCTGCAAACTTGCCATGATACGAGGCCATCCCTCTAGTTTTTATCTTAAGAATTTCAGGCTGTTTTATAACTTCTCTGGTAAGTTACAAAATTTTAAGCTCAAAAATCTCAGTTTTTGCTTTTTAGGATCGCATCTAAAATTGCGAAAGCCTAATCTGAATTTTCGAACTCACTGCTCATCAAGGGCTGGAACTCTTCCTATGAATAGTCTGGGCACTATGCTACAGAACCTGTTCTTTGCAGCCTCTCAGTCTTTTCCTGGCCTTTACGAATTTTCAAACTACCGTGCTCATGCATGTTTTTGACGTCGTTCTAAACGGCGCTAAAGCGGTTTTTTTCGCAGGAAAAACTGTGGAAGAGGTAAGAACTGAGCTTCTTAGTCGAAAACTCTTTTGTAGTTCAAGAATGTCATTTTGTTCTCCGTGTAAAAATTTGTGTCACATACGGGGATCGAATTTGCTGGCATGAAGTATGCCTGAAAATTCAAGAGTAAACTTGCAGAATCTCAAACATTAGTGAAAGTGTGTATGTATATGTGCTAGAGATGCTAGGCGCACCCATTGGCCTAGAAATTCTGCTTCCGGAACCTCACCGAAGTGCCACGCAGGTGTTTTTTGAGATTGACATTCGTTTATGGAGGTTACCGCGAGAAATGTGGGCAGGTGAGGTAAGGGGGATAAATGGGCGAGGGGGAGGGAGAGGGGGAGGGGGGGGGGGGGCCGTACGGATGGGTACCTTCAAAGGGGGGGAGTCGTAAATGAGGGTCTAGGATCGCATCAACACGCTTGACCCTGCTTACAGCATGTGCAAAGTTTGTTGGAACCACATTTTACTAATATTATAACTAGCTGTCAACATATTTTTAGAATATGTTTATTGGAAATGTGCATGTAGTCGGTGCTGATAACTTATAACGCTTTGGACTTATACTGAAAGACTGTCTACGAAATTTGCCTCAGAAGTCGGGGAATGATGGCCTCCTCCTTCGTCTTTAGTAGCTGGACTTTGTGCGCGTGCCTCCTCGCTTTGAGGTCTGCCTGATTTACTTTTCGCGAAAGACGAGGAAGGAGGCTTGCTTTTTCCTCCTCGGTAGATGGATTCCGTTCGCGTGGTTTTCCCTCTTCGCGGGAAGCGGTTAGTGGGTTGTGTTTGAGTAGCTCTCTTGTCGGGGGAAGGCAGGTGGGAACCGTTTGGCTAATTTGAGCTCTGTTCGCCTGGCTTTTCCTCGAGTGAGCCGGCTGGTAGGCTCTGTTCGAGTGTTTCTTCTGAGTATCAGGCAAACAGAGCTTACCTGGCGGTTCTCTTCTTGAGGGAACTGCCAGGTAATTTCTGTCCGCCTGATTTTCTCCTCTCGATGGGACCGGTCCGCGTGCCTCCTCGCCAACCTTTCGCGATAAATGAGGAATGATACTTGCTCTTTCCTCCACGGTGGATGGATTCCGTTTGCGTGGTCCTCCCTTATCGAGGAACCGGTAAGTAGGCTCTGTTTGAGTGGGTTCCTCTCCTCGAAAGAACAGGTGAGCTCTGTTTGCCTGATTTTCCCTCCTCGAAGAGACCGGCAGGTGGGCTCTGTTGTGGTTTTTCTAAGAATTAGGCAAACAGAGTTCACCTGGCGGTTCTCTCTTATTAACACATTGACGACAACTGACCCACATGGTGAGTCATGCAATGACCCTTGTTTCAGAAGTTCTATTATGGTGTATACCTACAAATTACTTCCGCTTTTCTTGGCTGCTTCTCAAAAACATTGTAGGGATACTGTAGATGACGGTCTGCTTGACTTTAGCTAAAAATTCTCAACTTAGTCGTGAAGGCATTGCCCCACCACGCAGACAGCTAAAAATGCGCACTGTCGTCAACGTGTTAAGGGGACCGCCAGGTGAGCTCTGTTCACCTGATTTTCTCTTCTGTGGGACGGCAGATGGGAACCCTTGAGCTGCGCCTCTCTGCCGGATACCTGCGGAACAGATCGAGACATATTCTTCTTCCTGGGCTCATTTAAGACACATGTGACTGCGGTCGCAACCAAGATAAGACAGTAATAATCTTCTTTTTTTTTGCTAAAATGAAATAATTTGTTATTGTTCATTAAGACAAATTACAACATTCGAATCTGTTGAATTTTAGCGAAAACCTCGGTATAACAGAGACTTTTGAGCAGGCTGAAAAAGTGGTTTGGAAGCGCGTTCACTGGAACAGTAATGATCTTGCACTATAGAGGAATTCGAAGCACAAATTCAAGTTGTTTATGGCTGGCTGCGGCGACGATACTCATACATGGTCAAACATTTCTCATGTCCAAACGATGCTGACTGAAGCGGGAGAGTATAATGATTTGTAAGGAAGTATAATATACCAGAACTGTTCTTTGCTTACCGCAACCTCGTTTAACTCTTCGCCATAAGTTGGCCCATCTAATGAAAACCGCTATCTCGAGTTAAGTATCTATATAATTGCACAAAATCATTGAAAAAAAACTTTTTTCCAGAATTCCCCGTGATTTATCGCTCAAATTGATTGTAACAAATGTGAAACCGCAAGTTTTGAAATGGACTCACATAACTCACAGCAAGCCTACAAATGTCAACGGAATTGAACAAGTTTAAAACAGGATTTTGTTTAAGTTGAGTATTAATCCTCAGCGAGTTCTCGACGTCAAAACTGAAAGATCAAGGCCCCATGTTAGCCACATGGATTCCTTTTCTATCCTGCTTGCTTATAAAAAATCGAATAAGCACGAAAACACCTGCTGTTCAATGTTCTCGTCGCACGTATGTTACTCCGGCAGCTACAAGTCATACGTTCTTGTATTAACTTATGACATCGCAATACATCAGGCCAACCATGATTAGGTCCTCTTTTTTCTTTTTCCGAACATTACCGTGATTGATGGTGTAAATGCGCCACGAGCGATAGGCCAGTAATCATCTTCACGAAGGAAGTTCCCATATTGCTTGAGCCCATTTTTGCAATTTTCTTCAAATTTATTCTTTTGTTGCGAGAGTACCGCCTCTATCTGAACCTGGCCAAAAATCGTACCTCAAAGCGTGAAAATCAAATTCTTCGGTCTTTACAAGAAAAGAAATGTAGAGGCCCCTCGGCTTGCTTGCTGCTTGTACGGGAGAGGAACGAACACCTCAATTAGGCAGCGCTTCCGCAGGCTGCTAGTCCTTTCGTCCTACTGTTGTGCATCGTGTTGGGACCAGTAATCCGCGAAGGTGATGCCTAATTGAGGTGTTCGTTCCTTCCCCCGTGGTTGTACTAACGAGCCTTTTACACAATTTGATGAACGCTTGAGGCAACTGCCTGATTGTATCGTGCTGAATTTATTGATTTTCATTGTCTTTTGGACTGAGGACACTTTGACTATTACAACAGTGTTTTTTTTTGTGAACTCTCAATGAACTTTGTAAATGTGTAATTGCTTTTGAACAAAACTCAGCAATTACAGGCCAATTGTATGCAAAGACAATGTGCCACTGCGAACGCTGTCGACGTCTTTTAGATCAAAGTACTTTCATCCTTCCCATTCTGCTCTCTCTTTTTCGAGGCAACTGCCTGATTGTATCGTGCTGAATTTATTAATTTCCATTGACTTTTGGATTGAGGACACTTCGATTATTACAACAGCGTTTTTTTTTTTGAACTCTCAATGAACTTTGTAAATCTGTAAATGCTCAAACCCAAACTCAAGTGGTGAATTCCTTGATTTGGCACGATTTTATTTTTTGAGTCTGAGCCAAAATGACCAAAGCTGGAGCTGTGTTGTTCTTTACTTCCCCATAATTAGTCGAATGCTAGTCTAATCACTATGGTACAGGTTAATCAGATCAACTGGGGCGTGTTAAGTGAGAAAAATAGTTGTAATCATGATTTGCAGTCAAAAAAATGGTTGTTACGATATGTCATTGCCGGCAAATTGTGCTGAAAATAGAGTGCTAACCCATGTATAAAAGTACTATTTGCTCTCAACTTCTTGCCATGGCTGCAAATTCTAATTCGCGAAGGTTCCCTTTGTATAAATAAAAATAGCCATTAGTGAGGTGCTGACCCAGCCTGACATGGTGAGGCTTTTTGCTGACAATTTGCAATCTTGAGTTGGAAATTGATTTTTCTGATCGTTTTTTTTGACCGCAGCCTTTGGACTAGTTCAAGACCTTCATCCTTTCAGATTGCGCTGAGCACGTGAGAAAAGCACGTGTAGATATGACATATCCTTTGAAGTACAACCGATGCATCATACATTCTTTCAGGCTGCCACTCAGTCCTTCGTCGAGATATTCTGCATAGCTCTTAGCTAATTAGACTTTTTAAGAAAGTCCTAATGGATGGTGATTGTTTTATATCATTTTTAATGTCGATCGAGTGAGCTGACAAGAAATATCACTATTTTTGTTTAGAAAATTTCATGAAAAGTTATTTGAGAAAAATGGTTAGCTGTTTCTTGAGACACCTTTTTTTACTCACGATGAGTCTGATGGGTAGAAGCAAGGCTTATGGGCCCGCAGTAAATCCACGAAATATGTCGTAATGTAAAGAAAGGGGTTTACGACGTGTCCGATGTAGGACAATGTCCGATGTCCGATGTAGGACATGCTGCCCACGACATGCCTTGGCCGCAAAATTTTGGTGCGCACGCGCAGTCGAAACCACGATGAGGAGCGCGCGCTGACATTGGTTATGGATGCATGGTTTTTCTTCCGGAACATCAACAAGGTGCACAAGGTAGATCGAGTTCACGAACAAATCTGTTTAGAGAAAGACAAGCAGCTTCTCTAGTGCTGAATCTCGTGTCTGGGTAGAGGAACGAACTCCTCAATTGGGCATCGCCTCCGCGGACTGCTGATCCCTTTCGTCCTACTGTTGTGCATCGTGCTGGGATCAATGGTCCGCGAAGGCGGTGCCTAAGTGGGTGTTCGTTCCTCCACCCCTCGTGTGTGAGTGTATAGGTCATCTATAAAGTCGTGACGACGGATTCTACTGCGGTCTTTGCGCGCACGGAAGCATAAAACACTCGTACAAAGATGCATCACCTCGACGCTCAGCTCAGCCGCTTCTAGTGTCAGGGTGCTATCATATGTAAATAGAAAAACCACTGGAGTAGAGATGGAGACCAAGAAACTGCGATCTCCGAAGGCGCGTGCGTGTCGCGCGCAGCCGCGCCATCGTCACGATTTTTCGAATGCCCTATACAGTCGAATCACTCCATATGATCATGTGTGTCATTGCACACACTCTCTAGCTTTGGTGTTCCCATCGTGGATTTCTGGGGCCGATAACCCTTCAGGTAAGTGCTCTCGAAGTGTTTTCAATGTTTCTTACTCTTTCTAGGTACTAATCACCTCAAAGTTATAAACGATAAGAAATATTCAGTCTCTTGCGTTTTGCGACCGAAAATCCAGGATGAGGACGCCAAAAATGAACGGTGTGTGCAATGCCACACATGGTTATAAAATGATTCGACTGTACAGCACGTTTTGGTTGTAATATCTCGAGGTATTTCGATATATTCTAATTAGTTCGATTAGTAGGCAGTGCCACTAATTATGCGGGCGACTGAGGGAGAGGAGAGTACAAACTTTCGGTGGAGCGAATTTTTTGCACATTGATGAAAACACATGTTTTTTATTTTAATAAATTTTGAAGTCTCGAAAGTTGTGGGATGCGTTACAAACATAGAATTGATTCAATAAAAATAAAGTAGAACATAAACAATGTTATAGAACAACTGGCATTTTGATCCGCATGCATGTCGCATGCATTAACGTCCCCGTGGGGAGGGGGTCGCTGCTTAAAAGAAGATTCTAAATTCTGGAGCTTTAGAAATCTGGGTTTCACGCTGTTTATGCGATGCATAAACAGCGTGAAACCCAGATATCTAAAGCTCCAGAATTTAGAATTACTCCTGCTATCCTTTACTAAGAATATTTGAATAAGAGCGAAAAGCTGCACAAGCCGTTCGGTACATATTTTTCACCTTCTTTATGAACACCTGATGCTCCCCAGCGCCCGACCGTCTTTTCTTCGAAGTTAAGAAAACATTCCAAAGTTGTACTGATTATCTACCTAACAGTGTTAAGCGTGTTGCTGATAAGAACAGATGAGTTACTGAAATGCCGGAATTTTCGATAAACACCAACTTTTGACTCGTGGTTCATCCCGATTTTCATGACTTCGACATATCATTTTCTTGTCAGAAACATGCTTAGCTTTGTTTGTTTAGATACACAGTGGAACTTTGGCACGTTCTCATTGACTGTGAAGAAAGAAAAATGCTTTGAAGGAAGGAAGGTTAACCGCCGGGAATTATTAGGTTGTAACAGAATTAATGCAGGTTTTGAATTCCAACCGCAATAAGTCATACACGTCTCATTTCTAAGTAGGTTGCAAAATACCATTCGATAGAGCAAAGCAAACTCTACAAGGCGGCAATCTTGCTTTCGCAACAACACTGATCCACCACGAGTTTCGAGCCAAAAACTGGAAAGATTCAACTGTCCGAAAAATTGAGAAAAATCGTAACTTAGTTCATATAAAAATCTACAAAAATTCTAACTTGCTCACGTAAACACTATTCACATAAGACATCTATACACACCTTTGCCGTAATTTTTTCTCTGTTAGAGATCAAGAAAACGGAAATTTTCGTGCGTTTGCCAAAGTGATGCTGTACCGTTCCCACATAAGCAGTTGTATACTACAAATCTGTAAAAGTATAAACATGAGTTTCCAGCTCTCTACAAGCTTTAGTTCTTGGAAAATATCGAATACAGTTTTCGCTAGTCGTGTAGTCCAAGCTAAAATTCAAATTTCTCGAGAACTAAAGCCTGTGGAGAGCTGAAAATTTACGTTTATACTTCTACAGATTTGTATTATACAACTACTTATGTGGGAACGGCACAGCATCACTTTGGCAAACGCACGAAAATTTCCGTTTTCTTGATCTCTAACAGAGAAAAAAATACGGAAAAGGCGTATATAGATGTCTTATGCGAATA